ATTTCATATACTTGTTCTATATTAGCTCCCCCAATTTTCAATTGAAGTTCATTGTCTAGTTTGCGATTCCCAAATACCATAAATTTAGTTTTATCCAAATTCAGAGATACTATATTACTGTCACACCATTTCTTTATCTTCTCAAGTTCCTGTGAAACCCGTCCAGAGAGTTGCTGTAGGTCTGTCTGCATCACTGCCTGTCCATCCAAGTGTTTGCTCCTATGCTGTCAATTCATCAAAGTTGGGCAATAAATTCACTTTTCGTGCATTAAATCGCTAATAGCATGTGACTTTTGTGGTCTAAGTGTAGCCTATCCTGGGTCTGTACAGGCTGTCATGTCCACACAGACCCAAGTGGAGGTCAGAGATGATCACTAAAAACAAAGCATCCCCAAAACCCCAGTCTCTTTGATTCTGACTCAAAAGCTGAGTAGTGCTACCTTTAGAAGAACAAGGTATTTACAGTGCATATGTATAGTAACTTGGCATGGCCCTCGCATTATATCAGCCACACAAGTACACACAAACATTCCTTTAGACCTAATTCTGTGGCCTAATGGCAGCTGGTGTATCACAGAAGAGGCTACTGCACCAGAGGGGATGACACACACATGCACAGACACACAGGGCATGTACACACGTACACAAACACACACAAGCTGGATTCAGACTGAGGGCTGCTTTTTATGGCTTCAGAACATTAGGTCATGACCTCAACAAAAAAGCCATAGCTATTATCAGTGTGGGAGTGAGGCCATATTTTCATTTTTTATTCTGTGACAGGTAGAATTTGGTCTGGCCTGCTGCGATGTGATACTTTCAATATGGTGTCAGTGCGTTTATGATGAAATATTTTCTTTCTGCGTCGTGTGATCTCTCCATAAGGGCTTTTTGGGATGTTATTGTCATTACTGGGAGGTCAAGTACATATAGTATCCTTTAGTACGTGGTTGTGTTCTGGGGTGCTTTTTGCAGCGCAGCAGCCTCTGTTGTTATGGTGGTGATCCAATGATAAAAGCTTGCGTGTCCCTTGGTTGACCCTCAGAGCGCAGTGCCCTCTACCCATCCACCCTCCTCTCTCGCTCTCTCCTCCTCTGCTCAGCCCCTCCATCAGCCTCCGCTAGGTTACTCTTGGCTAACCCGGGCCACCTGATTAAGGGATTAGTGGGGCTGATGGTTGTCAGTGTCCCCCACATGCTAGCTTCTACCAGTAAACCAGACACCTGGACCCAGGAGGAGGCTGCGAGGAGTTTACACTTTACATCCCCACGTACAGTACATTCATACTGATTAATTGAGCAGTAGATATACTTACTACTACTACTACCACTACAGTGTACTGTATGTCCAGCGTTGGCCTAGTTCTGCAGAGGAGTGGAGAATGTGAGGGCAGGGGTGGAAGGGTTAGCGCAGGGTTACTGTCATCCGTCCCTCCCTCCCCTCGCCTTTCTCCAGCTCTTCTGACCTCCCCCTGCTCCCGATGCCCTGCCAGATTCATATATCCCATAACCGTGCTAAGTCTCCATGTCAGCAGCACTGTGTCAAACCTGCTGCTTTGTCACACCAAGGGGTTTTTTTTTGTTTTGTTATGGCAGCCTGCTGTCTTTTGTTTAAAATCTTCAGAGAGAGGAGAGTCAGTGTTGGAATCTGCAGACCATCTTGAGACATTCCTAACAGATACCATCTCCTGCTAAACTATTTTTCACCTGCTCACTTCGCCTCACCTTTTGAACTTGTATGAGAAGTGAGTCAGTGGTTGTTTTCACCCTTCCAGACCATTTCAGATCATTGTTTCCTCTATGTGCTAGGAAAACCACCAGGAGTCAGACACTCTTCTATCCAACACCTCCCAATTATTATACAGTTTGTCTAGATTCATCACTACATTAAAATTTAAAGTGAAGTTTACGGCTTTCCCGTTTGCTTTAGTGAACAGACATGCTGAAGGCCAGCGTGACGTCCTGGCACCCTCTTGCCCCAATCACACAACTAAATGCTATCGGCTCAGCTCGGCTTTAGAGGCAGTGCTCCTGTTTTGGCTGTTATTTGGATTTCCCTATTTTAGATTTAATTCCATTCCTGCAACATCTGTATACATAAGCCAGATGCTTAGTTAGCATGTACATTTGGGTGATGGTCAAAGGGGGGTTTGTTTTTTCTTAGATTGTTCAACCAGACCAAAGAGTATGTATGGATTATATGAATACACCAATAGAAAGAAAGAAAGAGATACGTCAACTGCATGTCTGTCCCTCTGTTGTTGTTCTTCCTCATCTGCATCAAACTCAGGTTTTAAAGCCCTTTGAGGCAAATGTGTAATTTGTGAATTTGGGCTATATGAATAAAATTACCTTGTACAGGATTAGCACATCTGGCAGGCAAAAACACATCAAATGAAGCCTGTATTTGTTATTTGTTATGCAGGTACAGTGTAGTCATCTGTGCTGAAAGCATCCCATGGGTGGGGTTACACGGCATGCTGAGATGAGATGAACCATAGGTTTACAGGCAAAAGATAATTCAGAATATGTTGTAAGCATACCATGCAATTCATTTAGCAACACAAATAACTACATTTTTAACACACATACTGTATGGTTTGATATTACCCTCTTTGCTGGCTGGTCCTTCCTTGAGTATTTCAAATTTAAAGTTCTAGTCTGTTTACTGAGAGGAATGGAAACCTACAGATGCTGTTGTGTAATTGAATACAAGCAGTATTGTACAAGGTACTACCTCTTAAGTTCTTAAATTGTTGAAATGACAAAATGACATGTAATGTAAGTGAAGTTGGATAAAACACAGTGGAAACACAATCCTGTATAATTCAGTTAAGTACAACACCAGTGGACATTTTTCACATAAACTAGAAAGAGATTGACAACAGGCAAAGACATTTGCGGTTTGTGCTGGTGGTGACGTGGTCAAAATGAATGTTGAATGCATGTTTTTTGTTATTCTCTGTCGACCTTGCTGAGGTTCAGCATTGTACAATGCTGTGGCAATTGTGGAGATTCATTGTTCGATTAAAGGAAATGAACTAAACAAGAAATATAAATTCTTCCACGGAGTTTGTGCACAGCTAATTCAACATACAGCGCTTATGCTAGCAAGCTTTGGTGTTAGCTCAGCTGTTGTATCTGCTAACATTTCTCTGTCTTGTGTTGTAATGTTTAAAGTATCAAATGTACTCGAGGGAAAGGTTGTAGTCAGAGCTAGCTGCTATAGGTCAGTGAAGTTGTTCCATGAAAACCATCTTGGGACAGCTCCGTTTTTGAGACGACCTCTGCCTGCTTTGCTGTAGTCCTCTGGAGAGCAGTACTGACTGCACATGTAGATGCTGCCTCTTTATACCTTAAAATTTGGTCCATTGCACCTAATCACCTGCACCCATTTTCTTTTACGTTGTGGGTCCTTTGGGAATGAGTGAAAAGACAAATATGGCTGTTTTTGATTGGAACACAAGCACTCGGGTATACTACATAAACTCCGCTTTTTAGATTCTGCCGTTGTACTTTTGTCTCACCCTTGGCCTGGACTATGCCCAGCCCGTCCTCAGCTACAGTGTGAAATAAGGTCTATATAAAGTACTGTCCACACAAATTGAAGTATTTGTAGTCAACAATAACAACCTTTTTAATAAGGTGTTTACCACAGTGTGGTTGCATTGCACTATAGGTAGAAGTTTCTATGTTTCTGTCACTCAGCTCACAGTTATCTCTGTTCTGTGTACAAAACTAAGTCTCTATTTTGGTTCAGCTTCTTCGATCAGTCTAACCAGTGATTGTCATCTTGTCCAATCATTCTCTGCAGAAAACAACAAGGAGGCCCACTACCAGAAGGTGAAGGTAAAGGCAGAGCCCATGGAGGTGGACCCGCCCCCTGCAGAACTCACCCCACCTGCCTCTCACCTGCTGGCCTTCAGCACTTTAGGGGCGAGTGAGAAGAGCGAGCCAGTGAGTAGCCTCTCTGAAACGCTGGCCTGCCCCCAGAAAGACCTCTTCTCCCAGGACATATCGGTCAAAATGGCCTCCGAACTACTGTTCAAATTGTCAGGTATGTTCCTTCTAGACTCATAGCATTGTCTGGCACACACTGTTCTCTGAGCTACAGTAGAGCCACAGCACACACACTCACAATGACAGACACACAGCAACATGTCATCTGTTGCACTGCAGCGCTGTGATGTAAACCTTGAATGGTTTGTTGTACTCAACTATAAAACCAACATGTTTCCATTTCCTTTCTCTGGTGGCTGTGTAGTAAAGTCAAGGATATATGACATGTAATGACATTCTGCATTTTACCTGTATGGCCATGAAAGTGACATCGAAGCAGCAGACAGCTGTTTGTATTGCTAGATTAAGACAGAGCTTTGAGGTGTATCCATTGGTCCCCAGAGAAAAGGTGCAGATGTGTGTGTGAGTGTGAGTGTGTCAGGTTAGACTTGTAGTCCTGGGCTGTGACCTCAGCTCTATCCAGCGTCTGACTGCTTCGCTGTTATGCCATATAGAGAAACAAGCTTGTGTAAAATCTCTTTTTCCCTCTTCTTGCTTTCACACATATTCACAAATTCACACATTGACAATCTTTCTTTCCCACACAGTCTCGCGTGCACACCTTTACACACTTACACAAGGCTCTGTGGGGAGTGGTGTCTGCACATATGCCCCCTCTCCCCTCCTCCCTCTCCTTCTTTCTCTCATTCTCCCTCTCTCTCCCATGACTCGTTTTCAGACATGCCGGCTCAAGCACACTTGGCTGCACACGCTCTCCCCCTGCACTTCCCCTCCCTCCCTGGATATGATTGTCCTTCTGCTCTTGCCATGACCTCGGTTGAGGTGGTTGTCTGTTGGACTGGTTGCCAGTTGCACAGGACAGCCCTGCCCTCAGAGATGCCCCAGACCTGTCTGTGCTTCTGGTTTCAGCCACAGTCTGGACGAGCATCACTAGCCTGGCAACAGCCATAAGCCCCCTTAGAGCTGGGTTTGAATGTGAGGGGGACAGGAACAGAGTGGGCTGCTGTCACACAATGAGCAATCAATATGAATTACCCAGAGCAGTAGGACCTCAGAGACACATCAGTAGCAAGGTCGCTCTGAACACTGAGATGGTTGTGGCTTTGAAATTCACTTCAGTACATCGCCTTGAAACTCACACATATGGCTCCATTCTTGGGCAGTTTGTATAGTGCTCTTTATGGCTGATTACTGAAGCCGATTGTCTGTGCTAACATAAGCTGGCCAAGTGGTGGCATTAGCTGATTTTACATGTCGCACTTACATGTCACACTTACCACTTACAAACCTCTTAAAATTATTACCACTCTGTGAGCTTCTGTTGGCGTCTATTTCATACTGAGTGTACTGTTTTTGATGAGCACCTGGGATCTCTGGCATACAGAGTTGGACTTTGGGGGTCTCTTTTTTTCCATTTACATGTGTGTCATTACAGGTGCATGTATTACAAACACCACTTCGACACTCGCCTTGTGTGTTAATGGATTATAAAGCCATGGCTTAATGTGTGATGTGACCCTAAAACAGGTGTGATCCTAGGTGCTAGAAGGATAGGTGTGAAGATTACCCATAGTGTAAAGTTGCAGGAAGGCTTTTTGGAAAACACTAGCAATCGTTGGCACTTTTTGATTCCACACACACACACACATACATACATTATATATATATATACATGTAAATATATGTCTGGAAAAAACAAAACCTTCAAACCTTCTGTGTTTTTAGAAAAAGCAGCAATAAACAGCCACTTACAATCAGGTGCTGATGTGTGAGGAAAACCTCTGAAGGTCAGACACCAGACAGAAGCCATTTTATTAATCTTAGCTTTTATATTTATTCCACCTAAATAGTACCATAAATATTTCAGTAAACACATGTTGCCATGATCAACAGCTTTGACCAAGGATTTTTTCCTGTGTGCCCACAAACTGTCTCCTATTGTACACAGAGTACTGGTCTGTTGGGTACACCTGTACAGTGTAATCTTTCTCCATAACATTTCAAGAGCTGTTGGTTCAACTCGACAGCAGTTTAGAGACCATAGTCGGGGACAGAAGTTGCCCTGGACTCCATAATACTGCAAGGTGTCTGTAATATTTTGTTTCCCTATTAACATACAAGAGGCATGACCGTGCACAAACATGTGCCATCTGGCTAGTCTGATGCAGACATGCACATTACTATTTTTTAAAAACATTCCAGTAATAGTTTTGTTGGGCTAACTTTCAGCCCACAGGTCGACGGACCTGCTAGAGAGACTCCCACTGCTCCAGATGGCCAGCGCACCCCTGCTGGCATGGCAAACCTGCGCCTTACCAGCTGAACTTAACTTAAAGGGAGGCAGCTATCAGACTCATAGAGTGCACAGATAACAGTCTATGTGCAGGGAAATTTTTGGAAACCTAACAACTGACACTTAACTTAAATTAGCTGCTGGCCACCACCAAATAGTTGTTTCTCAGTAGTAGACTTGGGCTCTAATATAAATTCAGTGTCAACATTACTTCTTGAACTTGGAAATAGTAGTTTGACAAAAGAAATCTTAGCTCAAGGTCGACTTACTAGACTAGGAGGTCTGTAAGGTCAGGTTTGAATAGATAGGGTAAAATAGAATTTTATCAGTGGTATTATATTGACAGGGTTAATACGTTTTTATTGTGTTTTTTTTTTTATCCAGAAAAAGTGAGCAAGGCCAACAACCACAAAGACAGTAACATGGTGGGAATAAACAGGTGAGTTCCTAATACTCCATGTATTTGCTGTGTAGCTCTGAAACGTCTTTCTTGTCAATTTTACATATATTATTGACAATTTCATGAGTAGTACTAAACAGGATTTTAAAAATATAGTTTAAACATTTGTTTGATTTGGTGGCTATGTCAGTGTGGGTATTATTTATCTTGTCCCTGTGCTTCAGACCATTCCTGGATGAGTGCTTCAGACAATCACCCTTTAACTCGCGCTCCAAGAGCTCTTCCCCCGCAGAGGCCAGTTCCTCTACCAGGGCAACGTTCCAAGGTAAGACATGTAAATCACACACCACACACATAGCAGAGGAACAGAGATGTATCAATGATGGTTGGGCTCATATTGTGTATTTTTGAGCTGCAGAAATTAGTTTGCCATAAATATTTTTTTAATTATTAATGAACTTGACACAAGGTGCAGTAAACAGAAAGGAAAAATGAGATCAAATCAGTAGTTGGTTTGACCACTCTTTGCCGTACTAGTACGACCTTTCAACATACCTGTCAGGTAGGTTTGTCGTAGCATTTTGGAGAAAGTGGCCACAGTTGTTGAGATCAGGGACCAGACCATCTGCTGCAGGACTCCTTGGTTTTTTGTTTTTGATGATAGTTTTTTGTATGACACTATGTTTGGGGTCATGCTGCCAAATGAATTTGTGGTTTCTCCTATTTTTCACCTCCACGACCTCCTTTCTTCTTCCACAATCAAAAGACTGTGGGCAGAGAACATCAGCGCCATTTGCAACTTCTTATCAGACATATTCTCGATTAGAAGCCGCTATAAACAGCAGCTGTGTTGAACAACAGCTGCTTTGTTTACATTTGTATTTCCACAGTCTAGCTCCTCTTTCCTTTTCTGAATGGCAAATGCAGATACTGCCACCTGCTGGTAGGGTGAGCTATTTCTCTCACATGGACGCAGAACGTAGATGCTAGTCGGCCGTTGGCTGTCGTCTGTGCAGTGTGTTCAAGTGGCACTTTATCGCCGTGACTGGCCCAGACAAAGGCAACGTGAGGCAACGCAACAGTCGGCCTTCGCCGCTGCTAGTTCTTTCTGCTAGTTGGCTTGGTGTGTCTCTGGCCTTAGAAAAGACAAACAACGTTAAAAATATCGACACAAGACTGCGTAAAAAGCCACATTTAAAAAGGATTTGAGACTAAGTGAATTATCAATAAAATTGTCAGATTAATCTGTGATTTTCATTAAAATTCAACAGTTTTACTGTTTTATACAAACATTATCTGCAGATGGCAAAACAAGGAAGTATTTAACTCCCATCAGTCAGGGCCACTGCATCATTCATTATGTCTTCCAAGATAAAATTCTCACTCTAGCTCACAGAGGTAATCGATTATGCAGAGATGCTCATTACACATATCCTACATACATTTACTGACCCTCACCCTGTCACTCACACAGTGTTGTAGCGTGGCAGTCTATAAAACATCTAACTGCACACCTTTATATTGGAGTATATGGCCTTTACATAGTCTCGTCCTCCCCTCTGGTATATCCCCTCGTATGTAGAGCCTCATTCAGTCTTTCTATGCCTCACACATTGCCTCAACTTGAAGGCCTCTGCCCAGGGTGTCCCCCGTCTCCCTCTCCTCTCCTCTTCTCTGGCTTCCCAGAATTTCCCTCCATGTTCCTTTGGCAGTGAGAGATCCAGAGGTTAATTAGCTTGTGCTAGCTTTGCCTGTCCCTCTGCCAGTTAATGAAAATCTGATTGGCTTCTGGGTGTCAAGAGTGTCCTGAAAGTTAATTTGCCCAGACCCCTTCCGCTTTCCCCTTGTGTGTTTAAGCTTCAAATCCTGTTTTACTCTTTCCTCCCCTTCATATGTGTATGTCCACTCCTACTTGTGTTCTTTAGTGTGTCTTTGTTGTCCTTCTCAACCTCTTTTTATTACCTCCATGTTCCACACTTTGGTAAATATTTCTTGTTGCAGCTATAGGCAGCCTTCTGGCGGTAGTCTATGAACTCCTACAGTCCTTTCCTTGTCAGTTCAATTCCATACTGACATCTCACTTTAGGACCCAGCATCAAAAGGTTTAGCTATGTTTATTTTGGAATTGTTAGTACATATGATTTACTGGGTGTGAAATGATCTGTGGTATTAATGAGTGAAAAATGGCCGCTGTGTTGTGATTGTCTTGAAACTCGGTGTATTTAAAAGTAAATCACGTCATTACTACAGATATTTTAATGTACAGTCACCTCAGTAAATATTCAGACCCCAGTTTCTTGTGTTATTCAAATTTAAACATTTGTCATTTGGACCATCGGTTTCTGCACTCAGTAATCCATAATGACAAAAGTGAAAACGTGCTTTTAGAAATTTATGTAAATTTGTTAAAAATGAAAGACTTTCAGTACTTTGTAGAAGCCCCTTTCTCTTCCTGGGTAAGTCTCTACAGGCTTGGCACACCTGGATTTGGGCAGTTTATTACATTCTTCCTGGCATATCCTCTCGTGCTTTGTCTGATTAGATGAAAAGTGTCTTTCCACAGATATTGTTTGGGGTTTAGGTTTGGACTTTGGCTGGGCCACTCAAGGACAGAGTCTTGCTTGAAGACACCCCAATGTTGTCTGGCTGTATGCTTCAGGCTGTTCTCAGCGGTTTACTACAGGGATAGTGTTAGCCAGGCGATGAGCAGTGCTGGTGTACCCTAAACATACTGCCTTGAGTTCTGCCCAGTTATATCCATTTAAAAATAAATCTACTCTCACAGCAAAGAGAGAAGGGATCTGGATGCTTTCTGAAGCCAACTGAATGTACTGTGTGTAGGACCGTTCTCCTGCCAGCACCATAACTGCTGATGTAATGTCTTTTTCAGTGTGTCTGAAATACACAGGAAAGTGCTCATTGTCGTGGCTGCTAATGGAGCATCAGCCCCACAACTACAATGTAGAGACAATGTTGAAAAGTGTGAGTGTTTCCTTGTGAGAGAGACTTCAGGCGTTTGCCGTCTTCTGCCTCCAGTCTGGAGTTTAACATAATCTATCATTTCTGTTTGTGTGTCTCTTTCTCCAGCTATAATAACATTAAATAAACCATTAAACGCTTCAAGGCCCACACCAAGTCCTAATTAGCTTAATCATCAGTATCTTTGCACGGCCATGGCCTTAAGCCCCTGCAGTGTAGCTTCTTGTCCCCCCGTGTGACCAGGCCATGCCCTATTCTCACTTGTGTGAGTCAGGATAAATTAGTGCTTCTATTTGCTAAGCTACAGGCCCCATAAGAAGGTTTTGCATTCCAAGCATAAGCCATGCACCGACAGTGAGTTTGGAGAAGAGCGGGACTGAGTAGCAAGTCACAAGCAGCTATCAGGACCGCTGGCATGCTGAGGGGCAACTAATGCAGCAGGTCAGAAAGTCCATGATCTGCACATCAGTCGAGGTCGCAGTATCTCAAGTTTCCCGACATGTCTCCTGTTTTGACAGCTTCACCACAAACAGCCTTTGCTGACTAATTACTTAGTTTAAAAGTGTTGCTTTACACTGATCTGCTTGTATGTTTTACCATTACACATCCTCACTGACCCTCGTTACAGTAGTGAGTGAGAGACCCGCAGTAGAAATGTCTTTAAATGTCTTGTTTGGTCTGACCTGCAGTTCAAAACCCAAAGATATTCAGTGATCCAGCGTATAATAGAGGAAAACAGGAAATTCTTACATTGAAAAGCACCAACCAGAATATGTGACATTTTAGTTTATAATTCCATTTAAATGATTTAGCAAAATAGGTGGCGGTTGATTTTCTGTCAGATGATTTAATTGATAAATCATTTCAGCTCCAGTTAAAACTGATCCACTCATTTAAGGTTTCCCTAGTCTGTCGTGCACTGCTAAATTTCTTTAAAGAAATTAACTCAAATGCAGTTTAAACTTTGTGCATCTCTTCAAAGTTGAGTTCATGAAGTCATTATATCAGTACTTTAACCTATGCTGCAAAATTCCTCTCAGAACATAAACCAGTTAGCATTTCTTAGAAATAATTGTATTTGTGCTTGAAATGTACTGTATTTCCCATTGACAGTTAAAAAAAAAAAAATCTGCCAGTGGTGATGTAACACAAATAAAAGCGAATATAGGCACACGCTACATAAATGCACTGGTCTGTATGTAGAGGGCACAGAAGGGATTAAATGTGTGAGGCCAGTACAGAGAAAATGCTCCAGGGTTTGTGCAACAGCAGTAAAACAGTCAAATGTCCTTTCACACCTCCTTCTAGGGCCACTGCATCCGTTCTTTAACATCTGCCATAAAGCCTGCCCTCAAATGCCTGAAAACATACTTTACTGTTTCTCATTGTGATATTGA